GCGACCGCTGCCCATAAACATCCGCAATTACAGATGCGTTGCCTACAATTGACGGAGGAGGAGACGCACATAAAAAGAACATTCCCCCTTCCTATACGTCTCCTCCACCGTCAAATCCACTTTTTCTTCCCATCCTCTCCTCTTAAGAAAAGGATGGAAAGGGAAAGGGACCAAAATTAGGCAATAAACGCACAATTCTGTATGGATCCATGTTTTTTAGGGTATCTCCAGAAAATCTGCATAGAACCTGATAAAATTTGAAATAAATGTAGACGATCGAAAGAAGGCATAGGCTACAAATTTTTTTAATGTCTTGCGTACTCAATCTTTCCTCTCATTTGCTTATAGTTTTGAAGAAAAATTGCAGATTAAACTAAAAAAAGTATGTTGCGGACGAAACTAACTCAAAGTAACGAACTAATTCGATAGTTTGAGAAGCATTGACTTGCTCTATTATATCTTGCGGTCAATTTTTGCAACGTTTGAGTAATGAGGAACTACTTTACGACGTTTTACGTAATAGAGCGAGACCAACCATTCAGCAAAACTTTCGACAGTTGACTGAACTTGTTAGTTATAAAAAAAATGCAATAATTTCCACTCACGATTATAAAGTCGATATTGAAAATTATTACGGGGTTTCTAATATCGTGAGACTTTCATTACATGTTTAGCGTTTTTTTTAAAAGAAAAGTTTTTTAGTAATTCCTGTACATGTTATTTACTAAACTAGTTTAAATGGAATTTATCGTATAAACGTGATAAAAACTATATTCTTTTTCGTAATACACTTTATGATTGTTTTGATAGTTAACATTATCTATAATGAATTGTTTTATATTTTTTCTTCCACCTTTGAGTGTTTTGTAATGTTTTGTCTAGTGGTTTTGATGTTTTTTTAATTTAAAAATATGTTATGGTTTTTAATTAAACAGTAGGTACTCGTGATGTTTTTTTTTCAAACCTAGGAAAATATAAGCAAGTTTTCTTTTAAAGTAAAATGTTTAAAAAAAAACAAGTGTTCAATGGCGATAATTTATAACGGAGTAAGACTTTTTCCTATTTAATGGCCAATAATAAAAAAAAACACTTTCCGCCGCCCTTAAATCAATTAGTAGAAGAATTTGTAATCAGAAAATTATAATCTTATTTTGATGAATAGATTTTTTGTATCATTTTATTGTTTATACTAAAAATAAAAATATCTGAAAGTCCTACCTTTTTATTATTTCCATGATAAGCAATTTCAATTTATCACAACATATTTAAAATCACGACTTTCACCGTTATTGTTTGACATTTACGAATTGCGCGCGAAACGGAACGTCACTAACTGAAAAACTGATTTCACTGTATCACAAACACTCTCTCGTTAGTATTTTGCACGAATTTGCTACGTATTTTGCAGTGTCGTGTACGAAAGTTGGCATCGTCTTGCCGAATGCCGCTTCGGCCGCCAGATGTGAAATTGTCACGTGGCCACAATAGCTCCACTGTACGATGTATAGATAAAGTGACCTCTCTCGATTGCACTTGTAAATATGAATGTCTATTATATCATTGACTATTAAGATAAGGACTAGGCAGAGCACAGACTAAGTAATGCTAATTTTGTAGATGATTTAGTAAAGGTTTCACATGTGAAAACCGTAATGACATTTTGTCTGAAATGGATTCGACAAACGCATTTACATATTGATTCAAAAATTATCACAAAAGCAAGTTTTTATTGCCGAAGTACATCGCTAGAGGTATGCCTAAATGGATGGATTGCGTGAAAGATGACATAATCAAGAAGGTGTGACTGAGATGACGTAGGATTATCCTGGAGGACGAAAACCTGATCCTACGGGGGTAGGATAAAGCTGATCATGACTGAAAGTCGCACACTTGACAGGTCCTGTATCTTCATAGTCTAAGTTTAGTATCGATAGGGTCAAAGAGCGTAGGCCGTCTGCACACGGTGTAATATGCGTGTATGTTGTTTAATGTTTACACTTTTATCTCTACATAAATTACTTAAGATATAATGTTTGTAATGTTAAAATTATCTTTAGAGTACAATGTAAACCGATGAAAAATAAATTAAAAGAACTTTCTTACAATTATTCCCTTCCTGAATGAAATGAGTGACTTTTAGTTAATTTGGGAAAACCTTGATAAAAAGAAACTCCATGTTAACTTAACCAAACTTATCTAAGCTATGTATACTATCTATACTGTTATAATAAAGCGTAAACACCCACTTCTTTGTTGCCTAAGATGTCAGCAACTACAGCATGTTCTTGAATAATTATTTTTTTGAAAAAAAGCCCTACACTTACTTCACGCTTTAGGCTTTGCATTTTCACGCCATTAAAGTTAGGGGGTAAATATTTAGGATAAAAACCCTAATGCGAGAAAGAGACCATAAGTTGCTGCCAACATCAAGGAAGCAAGATTGACAAGGTTTGTCATGTCATGTCATTTTGACATTTGCTATTTATAATTTGACAAATGTAAACGATAAAATAAAATTTTCATAATTTCGTGCGGATGAAGCCGCTAGCCGGAACAGCGAGTATAAATAAATTTTAACACAAGTTGCTCGATGACTGAGCATTAAGGTCATTTTATAGGCCATTGCCGGAGAGAGCTGTACCCGAATTAAAAAATAAATAAAAAAGTGATATAGTTCCTGCAGCATTACTTTAGGCAACCGACCTTCATAGTACCAAGTTTTCATTTTAGCAATAGTAGCGTGTGTTAAAAAGCGCTAATATTTTTATTACCTAATGTATCAGAATTGGTTATATTTAGACGGAAATAAGAAACATCTAAAACTCATAGACGATCATTCTATTAAACGTGATTGTTTGTTTGTCTATCTGTATACAATTATAATCGCTTAGTAACACGTGTATTGTATGCGATAAACCTTTCACGCTTAAACAGTGAGGCAGACAACATAGTATTACTATTATTCGAACGCAGAACACTGAGACAGTAATACAGTAGTAATGTACTGTCTTCTGATCTGCTTTACTGCAGTCCAAATGTGTGAAACAAGCAATAACTTACTTCGATAAACTTCTTTCAATCGACAACCGCACACAAAACTGTCGTGCGATTGTCGATTGTTTCGCAGCCAATTCAACTGTTTAGTTACACAACTAAAAATCGAGTAGTGTACGTGCCATTTAGCTCATTGGAATCAAAGCGAGATTAAACAGTTGTCCGATAGTTTAGTTTCAGGTGTATGCACGCTCTAAGTGCGTTTGTTGCGTCAACATAAACACGTCCCGGTGCATTGTTTAGTGTTAACACGAGTTAAAGAATGTATTTTTAAGACAAACCGCTATAACATTAGTGGCGCTTACGAAGCGAAGTTTTTAAGTTTCCGAGAGACCGTTAAAGTTATAAATGCAAAAAATTGGATAATCTTTGTCATAACCAAAGATTAAATATAATGAACTAGCTGTTCCCCTGCGACTTCATCCGCATGAAATTATAAAAAAATTATTTTATTCTTTACATGAGTTAAGTAATAAATTGCAAATGTCAAAATACCAATTACCTTACTATGGCAATTTTTGCTATTTTTAATGGCGTGAAAATATATAGCCTAAAGCATGACGTAAGAGTAGGGCTTTTTATTACAACAATAATTATTCAAAAATATGCTATTATTGCTGACATCTTAGGCAACAAAGAAATGTGTGTTTACGCTTTATTATAATAGTATAGATAGAATAGATACATAGCTTAGATAAGTTTGGTTAAGTTAACATGATTATATTGAAATATGGTTTTAAGGCTATCAATGTTAGGAATAAAATTAGTACCGTGCTATAGAATTGGCGCAACTCTAGATTATCGGCATAAACGTCACGTCCCTAGCTGACAGCTGTCAATGTCACTAGAAGTATGGATAGATTTGGCGCGCATCCTAAGTCTGACGAGAAGTATTACTCTGAGATTAAGCGACAGTATCAATTTAATAAGTTGTCTAATAATAGATAGTTAGATTAAGTTCGAGAGTTTTTTGATGAAATGACGAACAGAGATAGTTTACATATAAGGCATAGGCTTTTTTTCCATACGAATGCAGTCAAACCAGTTAATGTATTTAAACAATAGTACAAGATATCAAACAATAGCGGGTTATCGTAGCATTACTCAAGACGGTATGTCATGTGACGAGACATTCTGTTATCACACGTCGATATGCAGTCTGTTTCTATGACGATATTATATGCATTAAGACACGTACTATAATGCAATAAAGTCCAACAATGGATGGAATTCTACAGCTTAAATTGTATTTAGATTGCACTGGAGTATGTCAATTTTATTATATTACAAGACTATAGAATTGAATAGTGGTAGTGCCCGCTTTAACATCTTAGCACGAATGGGCCGGCACGACCGGTGTAATACCACGACCACACAGAAGACAGGCGTGAAATGGAAGCAATTCCGTGTTTCGTCTGATGTGAGTGTGGTGCCGGAGGCCTAATTTAAGTCCCTTTCTCTTTACCACCCTTTTCTTATAAGGAGAGGTTGGGAAGAGGAAGTGGATTTGACGGTGGAGGAGATGCATAGGAAGGGGAAATATCCTCTTTATGTGCGTCTCCTCCTCCGTCGTATAAGGGTAGGCAACGCATCTGCAATTGCGGATGTCTATGGGCAGCGGTCGCTTCGCCATTTTGGCGGATTCAGGTGGCCGCTTGCTCGTTTGCCACCTTATGTTATAAAAAAAAAAAAAAGTTTACTATATGATATGTGAGGATTAAAATTTCTCCGCTGCTAATTTAGGGGAAAATGCATTAATTTGTCTAAGAAACTAAATAACATCCTACCCGCTTTCAGAATAGTTACTTAGTCACACAAGGAAACCCTTAGTCTAGTAATAACTGTAAATGCGTCAACTAGGTTTCAATCTTACACGATGACGAACAAAAGGTGATATCGTTAGTCAATAGTTATGACCTCATAATAACGTATAACGTTATCCCCAGGACGCACTTACAATGACCTCAACCAGTACCCCGTGTTCCCCTGGGTGCTGACCAACTATGAGAGCGAAGAGCTGGACCTCAGCCAGCCCTCCAACTACAGGGACCTCTCCAAGGTATTTGAAAAACATTAATAGATATACCCTTTGTTAAAACTTAAGGAATGAGGGTTATGATTTTGCCTTAGCAATCCCTTAGTGTATATTTGTCAATGCTAAAATCCATTTACATCCAAAGTCCATTTACATTAGACTCTGAGTATGGCATTTAAATATCTATTTTGAGATCATAATCCCTCGTATTCTTTACTTCTAATTGCGTTTGGAGTAGCACTATGTTTTCTAATAAACGTTAAGGCAGTCCCTTAGTGTGAATTACAGCAGTTACTAAATGTTTGTGCAGCCGATCGGCGCGCTGAATCCCAGCCGTCGCGCGTATTTCGAGGAGCGGTATAGCACTTGGGAGCACGATTCTACGCCACCCTTCCACTACGGCACGCATTACTCCACCGGCGCATTCGTCCTCAACTGGCTCGTCCGCATCGTGAGTACAACACTAGTTTACTTATACTTTTAACGCAATTTGAACCGCGAACATCACTAATGTTCAAAAATATGTCATTGACGTCGCCTGGACGGACTGAGGTGGGGCATTTCCCCTCTTAGACCTGGACTAGATCAAGTGACGCTCATTTAACAACTCTCTTTTGTTTTCTTTCTTTTGTTTTTAATTTCTCCCTATCACTGTAAATGATGTTATTCTCTAAACATTGGATCCCTAAGATTTTTGTTCAGTTTTTAAGTATTGTTAAAACATTATCGTTAAGACATTAAGGGCCTATCCTAACAAATTGTAAATTGTCTGTTAACACTCCAAAGTGCAAAATATGTCATGGAAATATCGGATTTTTTACCTTATGTGACAGAGACGTGGCAGGCAATGGTTAGACCCTATATTTCTTTATTAAAGATTCCTTAATATTAAGAATAACGTATATATAATAATGGATAAACAAGGTACAGACTTTATGGTATATGATAAACACTAATCTATATAGGTTAAGCAAAGTATGTGAAGTAAAACTAGGCTTGACCGCAGCCTTGAACTAATTGCTAATTGTTACTGATTACGTAGTTTATTAATAATATTTATTTAAATGGATAAACAAATTCAATGATAACTGATATCGCATTGTTATTGTAAAACTAAGCTCTTGTTTTTAAACCTCAAGAGAAGTAATTTTTAAGGTTAACAATGAATATTCATCATAGAAATAACAGAATTCGGTAGAACACATATGTAAAAAACAAAAATAAATACAGTTGTAGGAATAAATAAATAGTAACTTTCCCTTTTAATAAAATGATTACATTTACAAAATAAACAATACATAAGTTTATTTATAACTGAACGTGTTCAAATAAACACAAAAGAATGGGGTTCAATGTAATTGGAGGACACACTAGCGCCGCGCGGGGAAGTGAGATGTCACACCAATTAACGAATGTACGCGCAATGTCACCGACAGATGGCTCTGTATAGTAGGGCTGTCAATATTGTGTTTTTAAAATACCTAAGTATTTAGAGTGAAAGTAACATTTTCAAACAACTGTTTGTTATCATTTCATATTTACATTTTTTTTTAAATCTTGAAGAGACTAGTCTTATTGTGTTTTGTGGTAAAAAAAATCATTGAATTTTTTACTTGAGATGAACTGTAATTTACGCCAATTGACAAAATTAAGAAAAATAATTAAAATCTGTAACTACCAACCCTAGTCGTGGTTTAATCGTTTGCGACAAGAGACGTAAAAGGTAAAAAACTTAAAAGCCCATTGAGCGGTTTCGTCGAAGTGAAAATAGAAAGGTTACTTTTTATTGTAAGACGACATCGCACGTGAAATTACCAAGTTTAGATTGATCGTGATCTTAACATCCTTTAATGAGATGATTCAACCTTGTAATGGAAACTAAAATATCTCGTTACCGTGGATTTTATTGCTTTAACAGCGCGCACTCCGTTGACTAAACTGTTTAGTCTCGCTTTTCCTATAGTCTTATATAGAGGAGCGCACACTACTCGTTCTAGTTGTGAGACTGAACAGTTGAATTGGCTGTGAAACAATCGACAATCGCAAAACAGTGTGCGATTGTTTTGTCAAAGATGTGCGCCTGCCTTCAATACTGCAATAGCTGTAGAATGTAGACTCTAGACTGTTCTATAAGTCCATTGACTTGTTACTGGAGATAATGCTTTTGCCATTTGCGTAGGAGCCAATGACGACAATGTTCCTGGCGCTGCACGGCGGCAAATTCGACCACCCCAACAGGCTGTTCTCATCCATCGCTTCCTCATGGAAGAACTGTCAAAGAGATACCTCGGATGTTAAGGTATACAATTTTAAACATATCGTATATGAAGACTTGAAGATGACTTAATATGTTTTTGGAACAATTTGGACTTTTATTGCCACAAAAAAATTACACACTTGCCACAAAAACCTTAAAGTTATTAAAAAAAAATGTGGCACAAGGTAGCAAGATTCAGGTTTTCAGCTGGTTGGTTTTCAGCTGTCAACAAATATGCGCTGCTAATATACATGAGTTCTGTTCTGTAGGAACTGATCCCGGAGCTGTTCTTCCTGCCGGAAATGCTGGTGAACAGCGCGGGCTGCAAGCTGGGCATCCAGGAGTCACCTTCGGGGGATGTGCTGCTGCCGCCGTGGGCCTCCTCCGCCGAGGAGTTTGTGCGCATCAACCGCATGGCGCTGGAGTCGGAGTTCGTCAGCTGCCAGCTGCATCAGTGGATCGACCTCATATTCGGATACAAACAGAGAGGTAACACTGCCCCTATTACTTGTTTTGTAAAGAGGAAATATTTAGATTTTTTTTATGTATTGAAATAACTCAAAAACTACTAGACCCATTTTGAAAATTCTTTCACCATGAAAAAGCCTCTTTATCGCTGGGTTTACAGGTTGTTTGTTACTATTTCTTTTTGTCATGCCAGCAAAGTGGCGAGCAATAGCAAGTCTATACTAATATAAGGATAAAATATATGTATTGTTGTATGTATCCGATTTATGTAAAAACTACTGGGCTGATTTTTAAAATTCTTTTACCATTAGAAAGGTAATTTTTCTGTGAGTAACATCATACTAATATTATAAATGCGAACGTTTAGTTGGATGAATTGTTGTTTGTTAGAGTTTGTAGCCTAAACGGCTGAACGGATTTCGATGAAATTTGGTATGGATGTGGAGGATAGTCTGGAAGAACACATAGGCTATACTAATATTCAATCAAAATTACGTAGCCTAGCAAAGTTCACCCTGTTGCTAACGAGAGCAGGGTAATAAATCGGACCCGTGTTTTGTAGAAATATCCCACACATCATCGGAGGAGGATTGGAGGGTAATATGCAATCAACAATTGCCAGGTCCGGAAGCAGTCCGCGCCACAAACGTGTTCTACTACCTGACGTACGAGGGCGGGGTGCGGCTGGACCAGATCACGGAGGCGGTGACGCGCACGGCGGTGGAGGACCAGATCCGCAGCTTCGGGCAGACGCCGGCGCAGCTGCTGAGCGAGCCGCACCCCCCGCGCGCCTCCAGCCTGCACCTCGCGCCGCTCATGTTCGCCGCGCCGCCGGACGACGTCTGCATGCGCCTCAAGCTGCCCTCCAACGCCGCCGTCGTGCATGTCTCCGCCAACACCTACCCGCAGCTCGCCATGCCCGCCGCTGTCACGGTAACTATACTAACTACCAGATTTATAAAATAGAGTGGGCAGTTGATCTTTATTTGTCATTTTTCACATTTTATTAACGCCATCTATTGATCAAGACCATACGACAATATTTAAATGCTTACATTTTATTTTGTAACACAGTTTAGTTTATTTTAAAACAAAAGATGAATATTACATGTCAATACAAAGACGAAGTGGCACTAAACTTGACAACTTATAATCCTTTCAGAGAAAGTACCGGTGAAAACATTTTATAGATGAGACAGTGAACAAAATGTTTTTATTGTTTACTAGCTGTTGCCCACGATTTCGTCCACGCCAACCTATAATATGCCCATTTATCTCAGCTACCTTTCAGTTAAAGTCCGGTCAAAATCGGCCCAGCCGTTTCGGAATGTACCCGGAACAAACGCGGCTTTAGTAAAGATAGACAAACAGACAGACAGACAAAAAAAATTAATGCGATATTCATTATCAACAACGCAAATACTTCATCCCGAAATCTAGAATTTTTCTTTTGATATTATAAACAGACACTCCAATTATATGTATAGATAGATATAGATATTAACAATAAAAATTGTTGCGTTGCAGGTGAGCGCGGCGCGGGCGTTCGCAGCGCACCGCTGGGCGGGCGGCGGCTGCGCGCACGCGGCCGCGCGCGCCGACCTCGCGCCGCACCACCACCACCACCCGCTGCTCATGGACCCCGTCTGGGGTCAGTCACTGCTACCGCATTGTACCACATTCTTAACTAGCGCTACTATCTTAAACTAGCCGTTCCCGTGCGATTTTATCAGCATAAAATTATTTTATTGTTTACATGTGTCAAATTGTCAATTGTAAATGTCAAAATGACAAGACATGACAAAATTTGACAATCTTGCTCTTTGATGTTGGCAGCAACTTAGAGTTATCCCACGTTAGAGTTTTTATCCAAAGTATTTACCCCCTAAGTTTAATAGCGTGAAAATATATAGCCTAAAGCGTGACGTAAGTGTGGGGCTTTTTATTAAAAAGTGAATTACTCAAAAACATGCTGTAATTGCCGACATCTTAGGCAACAAAGAAGTGTGTGTTTACGCTTTATTATAATAGTATAGATACAGTGAACATTTTTTTTAATTAAATGAAAATATAAATAAAAAAAAATTAATACTCATCGGATACAATCTATATTTTCATACAAATTCGGTCGCTTGGCCATTTTGGCGAATTCAGGTGGCCGCTTGCTCGTTTGCCACCTTATAAAGCTAGTAATGTGTGTTGTCGTGTGCAGCGGGCGGCGGCGCGGGCGCGCTGGCGCGGCGGCAGCTCGGCGACAACTTCTCGCAGCGCGTGAAGGCGCGCAGCAACTGCTTCGTCACCACAGTCGACTCGCGCTTCCTCATCGCCGCCGGCTTCTGGGACAACAGCTTCAGGGTCTTCTCCACTGACACCGGTTAGATAACCTTCTGTATCTATTCATTATATTCATCTAAAATCTTGAAGTGTCAAAAACTGACTTTACTTCAGTAACCAATAGTGAATAGGAAATGTGTATTTAATTTTTTTTAAATATTCCTACTTCTTATAGCCAAAAGAATTTAACATAAAAACCAACGATTAATTAAAAAAAAATCAAATCACTAATTTTTTGTCCGAATAAGACGCGGCCGGAGTGTTGTGACGTCAACAATCATAAAGTATTTAATTGGCTCTTAGATTTATCATAAGTCAAAATGTTATTAAATGCGCTTGCTTCGACCAATAGCGTTGCATTTTGGAACTTGGCGAGGAAATTTAATCAATGAAGGTTTTAATGTTTAAATTTCGCTTGTATATTAAAAATAAAACTTTATAGATATGTTTTTATAGCAATAAAGCATACAAAAATGTCAAATTTGGCGTCAAGTGCACATTGCCTATTGTAAAAGTTCATAGTTTCTTAGTGACGTGGTCCTTCAAGCCGGAACGACCACTTCCTCTATTGTATACCATATAACCTAGTAAGGTGTTTCCATTGCAGCCAAGATAGTTCAGATAATCTTCGGTCACTACGGCGTGGTGACGTGCGTGTCGCGCTCCGAGTGCAACATCACGTCGGACTGCTACATCGCGTCGGGCTCGGAGGACTGCACGGTGCTGCTGTGGCACTGGTCGGCGCGCCACGGCGGCGTGGTGGGCGAGGGCGACACGCCGGCGCCGCGCGCCACGCTCGCCGGACACACCGCGCCGCTCAACGCCGTGCTCGTCTCCGCCGAGCTCGGCCTCGTCGTCTCCTCCTCCATCAGTCAGTACACACACACACACACATCTCGTGCACTGATATCTATATACATACTAGCTTTCGACCGTCTCTCTGTTCGCTTTGAATTTAAAAACAAAAATAAGTAGCCTATGTGTTCTTTCAGACTATCCTCTATATATTTGCCAAATTTCTTCAAGATCTGTTCAGGCGTTTTAGCTGCAAACTCAAACAAATATTCATCCAATTTTTAAACTACATTAAATTCTTTAGGATAGTTTTAGTGTGAAACATCTTCAAAGACTTTTAAAACACAAATGCAATGCAAATGCCAGCTATTCTGAATAGGAAATAAATAGAATTAGTAAATATAAAGTCAGTAGACTGAAATGGCAAGGCGGGAACAAAAGTCCAAACATAGAGACAACAGACAGGGACCAGGAGTGTGGAACATTCTGTGAAAGGTGTTAGGAACTACCTATTTCCAGCAGTGGACAGACGATTGAAGATGATGAGTTAACGGAAATTAAGAGTTTCCTTGAACTTGGTGCTTCAGACGGTCCAGTGTTGATCCACACGACATTCGGCGAGGTGCTGCGCGCGCTGCCGGGCGCGGGGGGCGCGGGGGGCGCGGCGCCGCAGCAGCTGGCGCTGGCGCGCGAGGGCGTGCTGGTGGTGGGCTACGCGCGCGGACACCTCGCCGCCTACACACTCAACGGACGCCGCCTGCGCCATGAGACGCACAATGACAACTTCCAGGTAATGTAACCCCTGACTTGAGGTAGCCTCTAAGCCCCTCAGTGGCGACATAGTGCTGGTGATAATGTTACATAGTAAAGAAGCATTAAGGTGGGACAATTTTAACACAAAACTTTAATACTAAAACCTAGAAAGAGATGGATGTATTGCGTAAACGGTGACATGATCAAAAATGGAGTGATAACTGAGATGACGTATAATATTTATTTGGACGACAAAAATCTATTGTGCCGACCTTACGGGAGTAGGATAAGGAGAATGATGACTTTAATACTCAAACCGTTATTTATATTATAGTGATATTTAGCTAATGTTAAAAAGTTCTACTTTTTCACTGGTGCTGCCCGATGATTTTTGTGAGAGTCAATATAGCGGATGTATCAGCGAATTTAATTTTAACTACCAATCAAATGTAACTCATCAATTGCCTTTATTCCTTATGGAGGGTCGGCACAGTATATGTCCATACATCTCTATCAGCCGTCATATCTGAATCCACTCCTTTCTTAAGCATATCCTCTTTCACACAATCCAACCATACTTTCTTCGGTCTTCCTCTTCCTTTGTAGTCATCCATATTCAATCTTAACACTTTTTGGTCTATGTCCCCATCGTCTCGTCGCATAACATGTCCGAATTAAATTTATTTACCAATCAAATGTACCTAAAATGTACCTTCTCCAGAAGGAAATGAAAGCAAATGGTAAAATTAAATCTGCAATGGTACACTGCTATATTGCAAGTTGTGCGCAGTGCCTGGTGCTGTCGCGCTGCGGGGAGTACCTGGTGTGCGCGGGCGACGCGGGCGTGGTGGAGGTGTGGCGCGCCTTCACGCTGGCGCCGCTCTACGCCTTCCCGCCCGCCGGCGCGCCCGTCTGCAGCCTCGCGCTCTCGCACGACCAGAAGTACGCACTGCACACTAATACACGCACATAGCGCCCGGCAAACTTCTTTAAAAAAAAGCGGCGTAATGAGGGAAGTTTCGCGCGTACACTTTTAGACAAAATAATTAACATATTTTAAGTATTAATTGGAATGAAAAAATATAATTTGTAATTTAATGAATATAACACATTTAATTTTTGATGATTAAAACAAATAAAATTCAACAATAACAACAGAAAAAACTGCAAACAATTATTACCGCAAAAAATAACAACGAAATTGGGTCAGCAAAATTGGAGATAAGTGTACTTGGGAGCAAACGGAACGTGGAGTACGAAGCGGGACGCGAGGCCGCCTGATTAACCAATAGCAAGCGGCCCCCTTGCCCCGCCAAAAATACAGTAAAATCGACTTCTGCGCAACTAAATGTGTTATTCAAGATGTTTGACGGGCGTTATATTTGCAAATTACTTGTTGATAAGAGTTTGATCATGTTCTTGATTTGATTGATCCATTGATCCAAACTTTCATATTGACATTAGTTTCATACTAATTATTATTATAATACGATTTATTGATTTTTTGCTATGGTGTTGTTAACAAATAACCCAAGCAGAAATTCTGAGGAAAATGCTAAACATCCCAACTGTGTTTTATTCATTCTGTCTTTATACAAGTTTATAAATATTAGTGGGAAATATGTATGTAATATTTGAATTTGACATTTCCAGATTCCTCTTGGCGGGTCTCGAAAACGGTTCACTAGTTGTGTTCCACATAGACTTCAACAGATGGCACCACGAGTACCAGCAGCGCTACTGATCCTCGTCTTACGCGCACTTTCACTGCTAACTGGCTCAGTGTCTCTCGAACATTCTAAAATTGCCGTTTTGTGTCATGAAATGTCAATTGAATTTGACAGATGTCAGTTATTGTCAGTGTTACCGTGGTGTGGAACGCGTTATAAGTTTAGAAATATCAATACCTAAGTTTAATTTCGTTTGGAAATACTTTTGATGTTTTTAAACTTTTAGCGTCTTTAGAAGCTAGATCGGCGTTAGGCACCTAAATTGCTTTGATAAGCGTTAGAAATTATTAGTTTGCTGCTACTCCTTGCTATATTGGCTAGTGTTGCAACGTTTGACTTATGACATTATTTTAATGATTTTTTAGAAAAAAATTAACCTACCAAAAAACATCGCTTTTTTTATTAACCTCATATAACCTTGTAGGCGATTTAATTCTTTCTTTACTATTGTTACTAATACTTTTTAAACCTAGCAACACTAGCCAATTTTAGTAGAGTTAATTGATATGGGAGGAAGCATCGCATGATGGTTCAATTAATGAATTTGTATAAATTAATTTCAGAGGCGGACAAGTACTTATGTTTTAATTCTAAGCAGTATTTTATTTGACATTCCGAACATTCCATTTATTTCATATTGATAGTATTATTAATTGGATGTTATTATCAATTTGTGTTTTTATTTAATTTTAGTGCCATAGGTAAAATGTTGACTGCAAAAGGATGTATAGGTTATTTTGATCTCGTGTCAGAAACGTCTTGAAACGTCCATTTCTGTACTTAACGAAATTGTAATGTCGTGCAATATTTTGAAATATTTTACTCGACGACAATGATTTCATTAAATGTGTTATATTTTTAGATTTCTTTTCGTAAATTATTATTTTATTTCATGAATTTTATTTTACATTCCATTGGTGATGGGTAGGTTAGGTATTTAATTTGTGTAAAATCAGTTTGTTGTAATTATATTTTTTGATTTTTATTAAATGGTTGTATTAACATCTTTGTTTTTTTTTATTTTATTACTTTTTTTTAATTTTAATTAATTGATATTTACCGTGCGGCTAACTTTTAGAGGAAATAATCATTAAGTTCATGAAGTGACGATATAATTGGTACTCAATTATTTTAGTGTTAAAATTAATCTAACGATTATAATAAGAAATTAAAATAGAAAAATGCGAAAGTGCCAAGTAGTCATTTTCGCTGATATACTATGTCAATACACTTAGACAACTAGATAATTAAGTAAAAGCTATTTAAGACACATTAAAGTTGTGTTACGGCTGACAGACCATAACCAATAATAGTTTTTTACGCGACCATTGTAATTTATTGTAAATTCGATCGAAAGCTATATTTTTGCATCAATACACCTGCACCGCTCCTTCCGTTCTGTGATTTAGGCTTTAAATATGCACTCTTAGACATAAAAAAAGAAAAAAATAACTATCTCATCCTACTCTCTGTGCCAAAAATATTGTAACTTACAGATAATGTAGAGAACAGTTGTATTACCATGCTATCAATAAAATAGTACACTTACCAACCCCTTACCTTCTAAAGCTTTCCCTTAGATTAGGTTAGTAATCTTAAAAAAACTTCTAGAAAACTCTTCTCGGTAAATTTAATTTCGAATATCTTCTAGTAAATTGTACAAATAAATCTTGATACCCTTATTCTCTCACGTCCCACTGTAGTGTCTTAGATCCTAATTGCTAAATTAATAGCTAGTACTAACTTCTTAGAAATTAATCTTTCCCCCTAACAATTATTTACCTTCAACATGTCTTTTAGAACGCAATCCCTTAAAATTATTTACGTAAATTACTGACTAGGCTTGTTAAATTATTTTTTTGGAGTAAAAAAACGCAAATCTTTTTCTCATATTAAATAAAACCATTCAAAAAAATTAAAGCACAGAAACACGCAGCACGCTAAAAACACGCTACACGCAATTCTGTCCATTAAAGGTAAGATAATTTTAAGATACGAAATTAAAATATAGAATTAAATTAACGTTTTTATTCAATTAGAATAAGGCAACACCTGTATATTGTATTCGCTGTCCTGTCCATTTAGGCGTAAGCTGAACTCATTTCATACCCAACATTGAATTCTTTAACACTAAGATCTAGGGAATCGTATTTAGAATCGATTTGTAACCATCTTACAACTTAAAACATCGCCGATCGGCTTTTGCATTTAATAGAAAGTACAGAAATACTTTAAAATGTTTTTTAAGCTTACTGATTTTAAAATTCATAATAATTATGTGGCAACACTGCTATAATTAGAAAATGTTGCAAACAGCACATACACTCAGCATGCGCAATAATTTTAGCGAGTGCTTTTTCACCCTTTCTTTAGATTAGAGCTAGGCTTTCCTTACACAGTACGATAATACTGCCTCCGCCAACTAATGTCTTATTTAGATAATAGTAATTCAATATTATGATAATGTTGTTGATCGTATATTATAGTGAATAAAACTAGGTTAGAATATGTAGACATGTAGAGGACGTAGACATAGTTTAGTGTGACATTTTGCGTAAATGAAGTTTTATTCGTTGAATTTTATGTAACTGTAATATTCAACTTAGCTATGATTTTTCGTATTAAAAGTTACTTTATTAGAATATTTATTTATAAATTATTTGAATTACGTATTAGTGTTACATAGTGAGATTTGATTTGTTAAATTTATTAATGTATTATTTTATATGAAAGTTTAATAGTTGGACTAATTACTAAATAGAAAATGTTAAAAATGATACATCAGTTAGAATGATTTGTTTTTAATTATGTAATGAAAAAAGACGAACATTTCGGAGATTGTGTGAACAAAGCCTAAAGTTGAAAAATAAACGAAATGTCTATGGCACAGTAGTTTACCGTTGATCAGTGTCAGTGTGAAATATTCCCGAACGTATTTTGACGTTGACAAGTATATTCGCAAAGAAAATAATTTACATTTTTTTGATAATTTGCATGAAAGTCGCCTTTGGGTTTTTAAGAACTTTATATTTTCAGATTAACATAGGCTATTTAGGCATCAAGTACTTCGCTATACTTTAGTTTTATATTAAGTTTGAATTTCTATAATTTCGAGCATTTCATTGCCCGATGCTGAGTTTATTAAACTAGATAAAAATAATGTCACATTATTTAATATAACTTCTATTTCTAATGCACATGCTTTTTAAAGATTTAAAGTGTGGTTTTCTTATGACATTAAATTGTGATATTTTATTTGGACACGATCCGTTTTGAATGTATTCTCACTTGAGCGTTAGTAATCTTTATAGTTTAATTTTTGCTAAGTGTATGGTGCGTTTGTATGTTACGAAAAGGTCTTAAGTATTAAATAAATTGCATTGATTAAATAAAATTGTATCATTTATCCTGCTTATGTATTGAACATATTCTGGTTATGTATCCGCATTTCGTCGGATGAGCACACACTCCGGCACCACTGCCGGAGGTCCAATTTCCTTTCCACCCTTTTCTTAAGAGGGACGGAGGGAAAGGGAAAGTGGATTTGACGGTGGAGGAGACATAGGAAGAGGAAATATCCTCTTTATGTGCGTCTCCCCCACCGTCGATTACGGGTAGGCAACGCATCTGCAATTGCGGATGTTTATAGGTAGCGGTCGCTTCGCCATTTCGGCGGTTTTAGTTTTAGGTTGGTGCTTACTTGTTTGCCACCTTATAATATAAAAAAAGCAATATTATTTGTTTATGAAGTATGCTGTTGGGTCAGCCGGCCGAAACATTCCGTTTTTCCCATCTATACTAACATTAAAGAGATTTGTATTTTTTGACTTTAGTATGTATTTAAATAACTTTAAAACTACTGAGCTTATTTGAAAAAAATCTTTCGAATAAATAATCACTAACATAGGCCATATATTATTTTTAATATCACGTGGACGAAGTCGCGATTAACAGCTATATTCAGTACTAGCTGTTGCTCGAGATTTCATCTACGTAAAATTTGTGTTCCTCTGTCACTTAACGAAAACGTAGCTTCCTAACAGTGAAAGAATTTTTGAGATCAGCCCAGTAGATTTTGAGTTATTTCTATATATACAAATCTTTCGTTTTAATGTTCGTATAGATATGCCTCGAAAGGGAAAATGCTATTATTGACACTACAAAACTCAAGAGGAAACGTCTAATACTCGTAGAGCAGGCGGACATCTTTGACTAAATTATCGCAGAACCGCTGTGCAATTTTATCACATCCTATTCAACTGTTTAGTTGCACAATAAGCTCAGCAATCAAAGCGAAACTAACCAGTTGTGCGATAGTTTAGTCAAAGGTTGGACGCGCTCTTAATTTACAACCTGGAAAACTTGTTCAAGGAATCAAAATGAAACAAAATGTTATTTAGTTTTTTTTATTAAGTATAGCTTATGAGCTAGGCGACGGCTGCGACGGGCGGCGGCGGCAGCGCGGTGGGCGCGAGGGAGCGCACGTCGCTGGTAGGCTCCGTGGGGATGGGCTCGTCCTTTGGCTCTGTCACCAGGATGTGGTCCGGCTGGGGCTTCTTGGGGCCGTTCTTGCCCTGCTGGTCCCACGGCAACATGATCTTCACCTGAGAACAAGTTCAATATGTTCAAATAATGGAACATTGTCATACAAATTGTTACTTCTACACCAAATGTGATTTTATGACAATCTCGTTAAAAAAATGACCTCCAATGATTTCTGATTATTTAGTAAAAAAAAAGTCTTATCCACTTATACTTTTGTGCTGTGTTAATAATGATCAAATTTAACAAATGTTTTTAAAAATTACAGTATAACTATTCTGTTACAAAATACTAAAGTCTGTAAGTTACCAGACAAGCATATGCAACACAATAGTGGCTCTTTTAGAAGTTTAATTTTTCAGTATTATGACTTTAATTATAAAAATTGTTTGGTCTGCACCGACAAGAGCTCATACAGAATGAACCCTCCAATAAACAGAACAAGTTACTTTTCCACAACAAGTTAGACCACAAGCTGCAGGAGGCTTGCAATCCCTGATTGTGTGGCTACAAGACATAAATACTATCTAAAAATAATCTACATTAAAATTAAGTGTAAACACACTTCTTAGTTATATAGGATGTCAGCAATCACAGTATATTTTTTAATAATTACATTTTTAATAAAAAGTCAACTCTAAGACACACTTTAGGCTATGTATTTTCACACTATTAACTTACAGGTTAAATTGGAAAATATATATGTGAGAAAGAGACAAAAACTACCATACCAACTATAAGGATAAAATGAAGATTGCCATAGTAACAATTGTTAAGCAACACTAAAGACCTTCATTGTCATTAGTGCATGTGAATTTTAACATTTGCAGTTGAAAATTTTACAAATGTAAACAATAAAAAGTTTTTATAGCTTTACATGGATAAAGTTGCATGGAAACAACTATTACAAACACTCTAATTTAATTATAAGCTTATAGATTGTTAAAAAAAAATCAGAGAATAAAAGCCTTATCTATCTGTCTAAATAGATTTAAAAACATACCTTAATTCCAAGTACACCTTGTCGTAACAACACATGTCGGGTAGCCGTGTTGACATAGTCATTGCATGGGTCACCAGAGTGGATCATGAGGCCATCAACAAACTTCATTGACTTGGCACGCTGACCTCGCAGCTTGCCAGAGACAACCACTTCACAGCCTCGCGCTCCAGACTCCATGATGAACCGCAGGACACCATAGCATGCACGACGCACAGCTAATCCTGAAATGAATATAAGAGTATATTAATATGGTTAATGAAGAAATAAGTTTTTAAAACATTAAATATTTGTTAAAATAACTTTGAAAATGACAAAACAGAAACATATTGATGTTTTTAAATTGCTCATTCTTGATAAATTTAAGATTTTATTCAGTTTTGTTTTTTCACTATTTACTACATTCACAACTTAGTAAATCAACAAAATAAAGACAATTTTCACATAGCATTATTTTGTAACTTTTAACTTTAACAACAATAATTACACAAAACTTCAGTAAATGTATTGTATAAAACAAATTGTACATTCTTATGTTTACAGAAACAAATAAAATTAGTCTACGGTCGTTTTTAGGCACAGATTTGTAATTGTCTTTAGTGTATCAAGTTGTATTTACTAACCTCCAATGAGTTTGTATCTCAAAGATTCAGCCTGAGCAATGGCGCACAGACCGCGGGTGGCGACCTTCTCTGCGTATAGCTCCACAGACTGTTCAGGAATGTTGAACCTTTTCTGTACAACTGAGGTCAACTCGCGAATTCTGCGACCCTTCTCACCAAGCACGCTTTGTGTTCTCGTCGCCATAATGATAATTTCTGACCGTATCGGGGTGACCCGCACCTCCACGCCGGAGTACCCATCCTCAGCCAATTCTCTCGTCAAGAACTCGTTAAGTTCAGCCTTAAATACACCGTCGCCGACGAACTGAAAACACACGGAGGTTATGTTTTTGTTACGTTTCAGATAAATGCATAACCTAGTTTATTAATCACTGGCACATTTTTGGACTAATCTCTGACATCTTATAACTAGGAAATAACGTTTTAAGACAACTTTAAGATTGAAAATACAATCACAACTTTTTGACATCCGTTAACATCACGGTTTACACTAACACTTTTTAATGGAACTTTTCAATACTGGACGTAAATAACTCCATACTACAACTTGGCAAATTTATTTAGAATACTACTCTTCCAAAAAATAACATACTTTGCGCTTTTTAGAAATGTTGTTCACCGCCATGATTGCAACGGGGGCTGAGAAAACTCAAAAAGACAGAAGGACACAGATCCACAAACGTCAATGTCAAAAAAATAGCGTTCCGTTTTATGTATGTAATTTTAAAATAGTAAGCAGTCGTTGATGCAGTCAACGCCAAATATGTTTTTAATAGAAATAAAACAACTTGTTACAATTCGTGTTTTTAATCCAACACTTTCTAGTAATCTGAAAATCATAAATTTGTTAACTTTAATGTTACAATATTTTAACAAACAGAAAAAACTTGTCATCATTCGTTACAAATGATCTGTTCTAGTCATACGAATATTTTACCCCTCAAAATATTCAATCAATAAAAGGTTTATATTTATTTTGCTATAATTGTGTTTAAGGATTGATCTAAACTTTCACCAAAAACCAACACAATTATCATGGTATCATTAAAGCATTGATACTTAAATTATTGTTTTTCTTAAAATAGGGCAGGAAATAAGAGAAGGAAAGGAAGGAATTAAGAAATAAATACATTTTATTGTCAATATTTTATTTAAAAACTTCATGACTACATTCATCCCAAACCAGGTGCCGTATGTTATAAAATACAAAATGTGTACCCAATACTCCATATTATTTTAATACGAAAATTAAATGCATATTGATGAGCTCTCATACTTGCGGTAAAATTTTATATAAGATTTTGTTTTATCTTATTTATTATTGAATATAAGAAATAATACAATAAGTGGCAACACTGCCGCATAACTTAAATGTACTTTATCCAACAAACTTCATGTCAATATTAACAAATTCATGATTATAACTTGACTAAATTAAACGATAATTAGCAACTAAAAAAAATTTCATTGTTCAATTCTCGTACTTAAATTAAATTAAACTTATATATTATCAATACCTTTATTTAGTCCCACAGAAACCGCGACAATGACAGCTGTTAAAAGGTTTGTTCCACTTGGTTCCAATTTTAAAGTAGTTTTAATTTAAATTATTCGTGAGACATTTAATAACTAAATATTATGCTGTTACTCACGTCTACTTTTTTCAGTGACGGCACCGACCAGTTTTAGACCTTGTAGGGGTGTTCAGGGCGAGGGTTAATGCGGTTGTGTCGCGTCGAGCCTCGCACTGAAGTACCCTCGCAGGGTCAAACTGGTAAGTGCTGTCACCAAAAGGAGTTGACGTAACAGCCGTATAAATATTTTTTTAGCTTTATTTTACCTACATTGTTCTGATATTCAAAATGACACAATAATAAAGCCAAAGAAATAATTTATTTTCCTACTTAGAATACATTATCGTTCAACAAACCATCCCCTTAAGAGCTATAAGAACGTTATGTTGATATGACAAGTTTTCGAACTAATTTATTATTAACAATACACACAGAAATGGGTAAGAAATAAAAATCCTTGACTGTACATAATTCCGAATCAAGTTGAACAAACCAATTCAGGCTTCATATAAAATGTATGGACATATAATGTTAGGAAACATTGCAACTTCTTTTTAGCTATAAAATTACATGTTTCAATTAACAAGTGACAAAAGCAATTAACCTATTAACAATACCGTCGCAATTACTTAAAATAAGACATATTTTTGATAAAATTGAGAATTTTAAAGAATAATAAAGTTAAGATTTATTTTGTAGTTATAAATTGGATGTTGGTCAGTGAAGTTAGAAATGCATGTTGTGGACAGAATGGAATCTTGGTCTTGAAAACCTTTAGAAAAGTCTTAATAACAGAATGTCACTTCAATGGCATTCTTTGATGTTAAGATGACGGGCGTTATCTGAAAAAAAAAATACTTTTAGTTATTTCGATACAAATGATTTAAAAAAATATAGACGATCGACGAAATCAACAATACTTGCTAATTACTTTAAAACTAACACAAAGTCAACTACATATGTAAAGATATCGAACGTTCCGTGACGACTAGAAATGTACTCAGCTATTGAGCTTCTGATAGTCTTGGGTAGTACACGTACGATGTACTAAAGGAACGTTACCGAACGGCTTCTGTTAATCGGACATTTAGTACTTTTAGTACACTACACGATATCGGTGTTCGCTTCTTCGTTGTTTGGTTTGATTGCATATTTGCCAGATTGAAGCATCCACTTTCGATGATGAGAATCAAAAGTGAATAAAATTATTCATAATTAAATTTATTTTCGCTAATAACATAAGTTTGACCCTGCTTAAAATTTGATGTGAAGTAATATATAACCCTCGTTATATTCAATCATGTATTGTGTTTTCATAAATCTGAAGTACTAAAGGTACTAAACGTGTGTACTAGTACGTTTTCCCAATTGTACTAGTACGGTGCGCACTTGCAGATGTCCGATTAAGCCTAAGACTAGCTTCTGAGCGAATGACGGACTGTCGGACCGAGCCCTGTGAGACTCCTTGCAAGTGTTTTATAAAACTACCCCCCAATTTCCTTTCGGTTCCTACTATTTCCTAACAATACAAATAAAACATATATAATAACAATAAATATTTACACCGAATGGGCAAATGTTTTTTAATTTATCATAAACTGTTACATAATTTGTTTTTTTTCAGTAAAATTCTTTTATTTAGATAATGTTGGCCGCTGTGATTTTTTTACAATAGACCAAATGGATGATTAAATTACATAGTTATGTAAGAACTAGGTTATGTATAGGGTTTAAAGGATGAAATAGGGACCCTAAGAGGTTTTAACTGTAAGGTTACTATGTATTCAATTTTTTTTCCCTTATACAATACTTTTTATGTTATAACATATATAACTATAGTTAAGCATAAGAACTAAGGTTCAATAATTACGAAAATTTTAATTAAATTCATAAATACAGAAAATAGTTCCTATTCTATTAAACGTAATAAAATTACTATCTAAGTAAAAACTACACTATTTCTTTGTTTTTGAAATGAATATCAATTACATTATAGTTGTATATAATTTTATACTGTATTTCTATGAACAAACTAACGCATCTATGTTAGAGAGAGACAAACCGATGAGCGAGCAAGCGCGTGCGAGCGAGACAGCTAGGTGGAGGTAGCCGTCGCAGTGCGCGCTCGGTGGCTTTGGAAAGAAGCGCGAAATTTAAATTTAATCGATATTTGATTTCGATTAATATCACAAATAAATTGTCTATGATAGACTAAATACAGTTAATATTGACTTGATTTGATCAGGGACTGGTTTCCCGCCACTTTTAATTTTTAAAAACTATTGTCATAGCTTTATTTTTACCTGAATGATATCAGATGACTAGATATAGAATAAGTCAATTCTTAGTAGTTTTACATCACCTATGATGTACCTATTTTATATTTATGTAGTCTACGCCCTTACTCTGGCGATGTCCATTCTATCACTATATCAAGAGCCGATGTTAAGGAGGAATTGAGGTTCACAGCATTTATCCAACGAAAGTTGTTTATTACAGTGAGGTTTTGATATCAGTGTTTGCTGTATATAGACATTTTAAAAGTATATAGACAGATATATACAGTGCGTAGAGTGCGGTGTGCGCAGTGTGTTCAATGAACGCAGTGTGTGCATTGCGCAGTGTATGCAGTATGCGCAGTGTGCATTGTGCAGTGTATGCAGTGCGCAGTGTGTGCATTGCGCAGTGTGTGCATTGCGCAGTGTGTGCATTGCGCAGTGTATGCAGTGTGCAGTGCGCAGTGTGTGCAGTATGCAGTGTGTGCAGTGTACAGTGTGTGCAGTGTTCAGTGTGCGCAGTGTTCAGTGTGCGCAGTGTTCAGTGTGCGCAGTGTGTGCAGTGTGCAGTGCGCAGTGTGCAGTGTGTGCAGTGCGCAGTGTGTGCAGTGCGCAGTGTGTGCAGTGCGCAGTGTGTGCAGTGCGCAGTGCGCAGTGTGTGCAGTGCGCAGTGCGCAGTGTGTGCAGTGCGCAGTGTATGCAGTATGTGCAATGTGCAGCGCGCAGTGTATGCAGTGTGTGCAGTGTGCGGAGACTCACTGCAGATGTTCGCCGGGCGGCGCCATCCTGCAGACGAGGGAGACGGCGGAGCGCAGCGTGCGCGCGAGCGGCGCGGGCGCGGAGGGCGAGCCGGCGGCGCGCTCGGCCGCCACGCGCAGCTCGCGGAACGTGTTGCGGGTGTAGGGGTTGCGGCGCGACGTGTAGCGCCACGTCAGGAAGTAGTAGTACACGAACGGGGTCATCAGACCACAGTAACTACTGTACCATACGATAACAACAATACATTGACTTTCGAATAGTACCACGAGTAATAATAAAAGCACAAGTGTTTAAAATATTGTATACTGCGCAACGACTCGCACGACATTTCGAGCCTCCAAGATGTATGAATAGTACTATATCAAGTAATATCAAATACATACTTTCATTATTTAATAACTTTTATCAGATTTAATGTAAGATATTTATACATAAGCCTTTCCTTAGGTGACAATCTAACGACAATGCAATTTGACTTATAAACCTATTTCTATTAGTTATGGACTTCTTGTTGGTGGACATTCCAGTCCAACCTCTTCCTGCTTTTTTCCTTGCATATATGTTACTCTTGGTCTTCTCCTTATATTCATACTAATATTACAAATGTAAAAGTTTAGATAGAAGTTTGTTAGAGTTTGTAGCCTAAACGGCTGCACAGATTTCGATAAAATTTGGTATAAATGTAGAGGATAGTATAGAATACATAGGCTACTTACTTTTTTAATACCACCAGACAAAGTTTCGAGCGAAAGCTAGTTATAAAGTCGACGTATCAGACAATAACCTCTTAAAATCTGTAAATATACTTACAAGAGTGCCATAAACACGACCAGTGGGAAGAGCACGATCTCCGCGAGGGCGGCCGCGCGCAAAATGTTCCGCGACTGGAACTCCACCAGCGAGATGAGCAGACGAGCAACCCACATTGAGTTCTGACCTAGAGTCTACAAGTAGAAAATCTTTATAAATTACTACCTTCCGCCCGCGACTCCATACGCGTAAATTAAAAAAAAAAACATTAAAAAATATAGCCCATGTTATTCACAGAAAAAATACCTTTCTAACGGTGAAAGAATTTAAAAAATCGGCCCAGTAGTTCATTACAATCAAAGTTTTCCACTTTATAATATTTGTATTATGTATTACTATAACAAAAAAACTAAAACCTGCCATCTTTACAGAAATTAGAAACATAATGTACAGTACTATTCAATCTTTACAGAAGCTCGCGAAATCGCAGCAGTTGTTTCAATACATACAAAAATATTGGTATAAATTTTTAGTGGACCTTTAGAAAAAACATGCAGTTAACCTCGAGCCGCTATAAACATTGACTTAAATCCACACGACTTGACCCTTGAATGACCTTTTAAAATTTCGTAAACGTAATCTAAATTAAACCTTATACCTATGAGAATTAGAGTCATTTTTAAAACAATATTTTAACACTTATACTTACATCAAGTATGGTGAGGGAGTATGATGCAGCATGAAGTAGCGCGAACAAGAAGATCGGAGTTAATATTACTGTACAGGAGTCAAGGAATAAATGCCAATTAAAAAAATATTATTAAAAACCTGCAACTCTCTAAAGCGATTATTTATCTTTCAAAATCGATTAAATTAGGGTAGATATGCACATACAAACTTAAAAATATTACGGATTAGGAATAACGAATTTGAAACAAAACATCGTAATTTAGTTACTAGCGACCCGCCCCGACTTCGTTCGGGTCCAATGAACATTATTACAAATACAGCAACTTACTGAAGCGATTTCGATTCATTTTTCAAAATCGATGATTTTGGGTTGATTTGCACAAACATACAAACTTACATACCTAAAAAGATTACCTATTTCGAATAACGAATTTGAAGTAAAACAAAACATCGTAATTTAATTACTACTACTACTACGCGCCCCGACTTCGTTCGGGTCTAATGCTGAAATGTGTTTATTTACAAAACAGAAGACACTTCTAAAATTACAGTAGAACCTCGATAAGTTAAAGTCCAAGGGAAACACAATATATTTTATAATTATAGAGGTTTTAAGTTATCGAGGGTCTATGTTGTAGAGGTTTTGGGCTCTAATGGGAAGGGAACATATTATTTTTTGTAGTTATAGAGGTTTTTAAGTTATCGAGGTTCTACTATATATTAAACAAGTATTTTTGACCGACTTCCCAAAAGAAGGAGGTACTCAATTCGTCGATATGTTTTTTTTTGTGTGTTATTACATAGAAATATTCCTTTTAAACCGCTCTGTCCGTTGGGTAGTTTTAAAGATCTAAGTATACAAAGAGACAGACGGACAACGGGAAACGACTTATGTTTATCTTACAATTAACATTTAAGCCGGTTTTAAGTTACAAGTGAGGCCATTATGACGTCATCTTAATACCTTAATGAGTTGTCAATGTTAATTACTTGATAACCTCGTCTAGCCTATTGTTTTATTGCTAGCGGCCGAATACTTAAACGACATTTAAATAAGTGCCACATTCTTATATAATCAGGCTACACTTAAATTCAAATTTGACGACTATTAAGAAGCGATGTGTTAAGATTCGTTTCAGTATGCGGCCGAGATTTTTAATTCAACACTTTCAATGCCAACACGAATTTGACTTACTAAAACAACCTTATAGGTTAAGTCGTCGGTATTTAGTGTGTTAACAAATACGTTTAAAAAACCTGCATATTTGTTTTAAAAGAAAGTGACATCAAACAGTTTGACAGATAACTAAATTTGGGATCATTCTATAGACAGGAAATGGACTTAATTTGACTAGATTTGATCTAACAAATGGATCCAGTATTATCCACCTGCCCTTATCCCTTATGGTGGGTCGGCACAGTATGTGCTGCTCTTCCATACATCTCTATCAGCTCATATCTGAATCCACTCCTTTCTTAAGCATATCCTCTTTTACACTATCCATCCATACTTTCTTCGGTCTTCAGTAAATGGATCCAGTATATGGCCGTTTAAAAGGAATTTGATTGACTATCCTCTTGCCTCAGTATTCGTTTCATCATCATCGGTCGGCGAAGCAGGTTTTTGTCCTCCAAATAACTCTATCATCCGTCATCTCAGTCATCACTCCCTTCTTGATCATGTCACCTTTCACGCAAACCATCTCTTTCTATGTCTACCTCTACCGGTGTACCACACTCATAACTAACGTCCGTCTTGTTACATGCGATTCATCCCTCATAACATGCCCATACCATGCTAACCTTTTACTCCTTACCTCAGTTATCGTTTATAGTCGCAAAGCTAATATTTTGTAAACATCATAATTAAAAAGGTCATATATTTTTACATTATGCTATGAGTTAATTTAGTTAACTTTCGGAGATAGCCTTGACGTTGTGAAGCTACACAAAAATAAATTATTCATGTTTCAAATTGTTACTCATTGTATAAAGTAGAAAATTATACAGTAAATACTTATTTACTAAAATTCTTACGATATGAACAACATCACTAAAGTTTAGTATTCCAATTTTGTTAAAAACATATCTTACTAGCTTTCAACCGCAAATCCGTCCGCGTGCAATTAAAAAAAGTCATCAGACTATATGTTCTTCCAGACTATGCTCTACAATGGCAAATTTCATCGAAATCCGTTCAACCGTTTAGGCTACAAACTCTAACAAACATCCATCTAAACTTTCGCATTTATAATATTAGTAAGATTATTTTAAGTGGGTTTATTCCTTTTTTAAATTGTATATTATGCAATAATTAACTATGTGAGTGTATGCAATAAATTGTTGCTATGCATTATGACGCAAATTAATTACGTTTTTATATCAACACGTATGTTTACGTAAATGTAATATTTTCTTAAACAAACTTAGTATTAAGAAAACTTTAACTCACTTTAAATTACTAATAATAAATACCTAAATAAGGTTTTTTTATCATACTAGATCATAATACCTAATACTCCAATATCTAATCATTCTCTAGTATCCTATTACGTTAAAAAAACTCAAAATAATCCCTAACATATGCAACTTATTTTCACTCTTGCTATAGGTTCATCTCACTTTAACATGTACTATCTATTGCTCGCGACATCGTCCGTGTGAAATTAAGTAATAAAAAAGCCTATGTTAGTCACAAATTATCTTTCTTACCGTGCAAGAATGATTAAAATCGGCCCCGAAGTTACGTTATTTCAATAGATACAAAAATACAAATCTTTTCCCTTAAATATTAGAAAAGGATACACATATTGGGCACAACGTTCATAAATATGAGGGAATAGAAGAGGTAATGAGCGCTGTCCTCCAACAGGAAGCGCGCGAGGAACTCCCGGGAGAGGGCAATCTCCCGCGGGGGGATCCTCTGATGTAGACGAAGAGCTGAGGTCGCCGCGTTTGCTAGGAGAGCCTTGTAGAATGCTGATATTGGGCTGGAAGATAATAGAAACTGTTATGGTACACACTTGGCCAGTAGAGCAGGCCATGTCTAGATTGTATAGTGGAGCCAGTTAGTATTTACTTTATGCTAGTTAGTGTTACTGGACAAGTGTGTACCAAGCATTAAGCTCGGTAAGACGCGGCATCAACGCGTTTATGACGCGTAATTAATTGTGCAAGTTCGTTATCAGAAATGCCCAATACACTTATGATAACATCTCTAATGTAGACATGCAATTCAAAAATTGAGATTTAGGCCTTTTTGTTAACGATTGCTTTTGAGGTAGATTTTACCCTTATCTGACCCCTTTACCACATTAAATGCCACTAGCTGCATTTACATGCGTAAACCTAACATTGTAAGTGTTAATAAATGTTACGGTATCATTTCACATATTAAATTTATTACATGCAAATGCATTTCATCTCAAGAGCAGAACGCATTAAAGTGGTACAAACGCTACGATTAACGCGACCACTTTCACTCACGCTACGAATACGCTGCATTGCACCGAATTTATGCCATCTCATGCAGTACTTTCACATCTTTGAACAAGAATGATATTTCACTTGAAGTTCAAAGTTAAAGACATGAATTTTTTTATAATATAAGGTGGCAAACAAGCAAGCGGCATGAATCCACCGAAATGGAAAGCGACGCATCCGCAATTGCAGATGCGTCGCTTACCCTTCATTGACGGAGGAGGAGACGCACATAAGGAGGACATTTCCCCTTCATATGCATCTCCTCCACCTTCAAATCCACTTGTCCTTCCCATGCTTTCCTTTTAAGAAAAGGATGCATAGGGTAAGGGACTAAAATTGGGGCTCCGGCACCACACTCATCAGACGAAACTCGGAATTGCTTCCACTTAGCGCCTGTTTTGTGTATGGTCGTGGTATTACTGGGGGCAAGCCAGCCCACTCATGCTAAGATGTTAAAGCGGGGTGTACCACTGTTAATACTTACTGGATTACTTGAGCCAAAGCAAATTTCCTTACGATTTAAAATTAACACATTCCATTAACACATTTCTGTGTTGAAGTAGTTTTGGCTGGCATGTCAGCAATTAGCGTTTTAATAAAATTTTAATTAAGGGGATATTTTAGATATGACATTTACAAGAAACTACTCAACCTTAATGTTAAATGGTAGATATATTGGGAACTTTATTATTTAAAAAGCCCTATTCAGTAAATAAAAGATTATTTCACACAATGTAATATGAATATCTAAAAAAACTAATAAAAAATTGGGATAATTACTAATGTAACAGTGCTTTACTGAAAGAAATATAGATTTTAAAAACCTACATCTTTTCTAAAAACCAAACACCAAGTTATATGTTTGTTAAACATGTTTAGTCACTGAAAACTCAACTTCAGGTATACATTATGTTCTTACACCGAACTCTTTACAATAAATGAAATAAATATTACCGCTTCACTTACTTGTTAAATATAGGCAATAAATATCCTATTGTGCATAGAACAGTGAGGATTCGGATGCCCCATAGTGCGACATCCACTTTATTTGCTATAACATGAGCTTTGAGCGCCGGCAGACCTTTGGGTAGAGCTCCCTCACCCGCTGGTGTATTTTGATCCGCCATAGTCTGTTGACGAAGAAATACAAAGATATAAAATGTCAAGCAATGAATATAGAAAATTTAAGAAAATAATTGGTTAAATTAACAAATATACAATTTAATATAGACATTTTTAGAAGAAAAAAAAAATAAAGGAAAAATCTATTTTAAATGTAATTTTATATACACATTGCAATGTAAAAGTGATCTGTATTTATATTCTCTTTATTGTTAAACATATAGCTGTTGGTTATTCCAAAGAGAAGGCAGTTTACTTCATTTTAGTAACTTTCATTGATTTCTTATTTGATTTTTGTCATAAGAAAATTATTACAATGAAAGTATGACTCAAATGTACCACTTTTGAGTTTATCTGTAGTTATAAATGGCAAAGAAAGTTTCATACTTTCACTTTCTAATTTTGTATCTGTGCCATTGATGAAGAAATGTTGCCCTTAAATATAAATGTTAGCGTAATACTACAGCTATGTACTACGAGGTGTGTATAAAGATTTTCGGTAAGCTTATCTGATAAGCATTTCTGATAAAAAGAAAAAAATTGAATAATAACCTAAGTTTCCCAACAATTTTTCTTCACAGAACTGTTTCGTCTTTTTATCGGACATGTGTCGTAAAACGTGCTGTTAAAGCTAATTAAATGCAAATGAAAAATACTAAGATTATTTTCGTAACTACTAGTTTTTCAACAGCGATTAGTTGGCGCTAACACAAATATTTTATTAATCCAAAGAATATCAACCTTGAAATAACGAGATCTAATTGGAACTTTACCTTAATATGATGAAGAAAAACTTGTTTTTGGGAGATAATTGTGTTAAAATTACAAAATGAGTAATGTACACCAATTTATATTTTGAGTCAATCGAGTTATGAAATAGAAGTTAAATATAATGTGCTACTTACGCTGAAATATGGAACAAATACGAACTATGTAAAACAATAATTTTACAATATTACTAACACAATTCAACGTTGACCACGAAACCCCGAACAAACATGAAACATGATTTGCCCAGATTTGTCAAATGACAGGAAAAAATTAAAAAGCTGTAGATTGCTACAGACAAAACAAAAGTTCTTTTATTTATTTCATTTATAGTTGAAAAATAAAAAAAATTATCATTAAAACATTGAAAACAATAAATATTAATTGAATAAGTTAATGAATTGAAGATTTTCTCTCAATAATATTTTGAACTTTTCTCAAGATTTGACTTCCGAACGATGCCATAATGACATTTGAATTTGACATATCCCCTTTCATTTCATTTGTTAAATAATGCACAAAAAATTTAAAGCAAAAGTTTCACAAAATGTTAACTAAAATCGCTAGTCAAATTGTGCGGAGGAGTAATATAAAGTCTTACTTCAATATCCGTCTCAGTGATCGAAGCTATAGTGTAATATCTTCTGTTATTAAAGAAGCGAATGTTGGCGAAGTAACTGAAGTAAAGGTAATCTATTTAAGAATGAAAAATGAAATTAAATGATTAATTAATAACATACTAATCGTTGATATTCCAAACAGGGATGGGTGAAAAACTTACGAGTTCAGAAAGACCTTGTATTTGCTGATATCAGCGACGGTTCTTGTGCGAAGAAATTACAAATCGTTATACCGAAACACTTGAAAACTGATGATTTAACGTATGGGAGTTCGGTACGTGTTGTTGGAAAACTATCTAAGAGTCCTAGAGGTCAACTAGAGCTTGCTGCAGAAGATGTAAAGGTTTTTGGAGAATGCATTGTTTTAGACGGTTATCCATTCAATCCTAGAACAACACATTCTGCTGAATACATTCGTCAATACTTGCATTTACGTTGTAGAACTAATTACACTTCAGCTTTACTAAGGATACGAAATGCAGTAACTAAGCATATTCATAATTATTTTGATAATAAAAATTATTTACATATTCACACACCTATTTTAACATCAAATGATTGTGAAGGTGCCGGAGAAGTATTCAAAGTGTTACCTGATAATGAAGACACAATAAAAGCAATGATACAGAAAGATAAGAATCATGATAATGCTTATTTTGGTGCTAAAACTTTCTTGACAGTATCTGGTCAGTTGCATTTAGAAGCGATGTGTAGAGGTCTAGGTAATGTGTACACTTTAGGTCCAACATTCCGAGCAGAGAACTCGAGGTCCCGATTGCATTTATCCGAGTTCTATATGTTAGAAGCGGAATTAGCATTCTGTGATAATTTGGAAGACTTACAAAGTACTATTGAGGATTTATTGAAGTATGTTTTTGTTGAAACAAGAAATACTAATGAGGATGATTTATATTTGATAGATAAAGAGAGAAATAAACCTCCCAGTTGGTTGGAAAAGGAGTTCATAACAATGACATATATAGAAGCTAAAGAAATACTAAGAAAGAAAGGCTTGCCGGACACAGAAGTTGGTATTAATAAAGAACAAGAGCTTGCTTTAGTTGCTCATTGTGATAATGTTCCTGTGTTTGTGGTCAGGTGGCCGAAGGAACAGAAATCTTTTTATATGAAAGAGTCACAGGATAATACTAAGGTATGTATTGTTTAAAACAATTAGATTGTAACTGTTCAATTTGTTAATAATTTTTTACTGCTTTGGGGTTGCCGATAGTCTAGAGATCAATGGGGCTAGGATTTTGATCAAGGGGGTTAGTAACAAGAATTATAATTTTTTAAAATAATTATCTATATATATTAGTTATCTATATATCAACTAGCTTTCGCCCACTCCATCCAGGTGGAATTAAAAAACAAACAAAAGAGTATGTGTTCTTCCAGACTATCCTCTACATCTATACCAAATTCCATCAAAATCTGTTCAGCCATTAAGGCTACAAACTCTAACATCCATCCATCCAACTAAACTTGCGCATTTATAATATTAGTATGATTTAGCGATTTTAGGCACCTATTGTAGTATTTTATAATTATTTATTTCACAATTTTATTGTCTCTAAGGGCACTTGCAACTCCTTGCGGTTCCCAAGACTCCAAGCCTCTTGACTTATTTAAGCATATAAAATTAATTTATTGAACTCTTGTTTTAGGTTGAAGCATTAGATCTTTTAGCACCTATTACTGGAGAAATAGTAGGCGGTAGTCTAAGAGAAGATGATTACAATAAATTAAAGTCAAATCTACCTTCAGAAGCTCTTAATTGGTATTTGGAATTAAGAAAGTTTGGAAACATACCTACAGGTGGATATGGATTGGGTTTGGAGCGTTTGTTACAAGTTCTTTGCAGTGTACCCAATATAAAAGATACCTTGCCATTCCCAAGATGGCCGCATAACTGTGATATGTAAATCTAAGTTGTAATGTTTAAGAAAATAAAAATTTTAATTACCTTTATTGTGTCTTATCATTTTGAAATTCCCATAGTATTGAATTTACTGCCTTGTCTATATAGTGAACCTTTTCTGAGGCAAGAGACCAATGGGAAGCAATATTATTAATAAATTGCTTATAATTAATTTTTGAATATTATTAGCGATAACACAAGGAAGAATTGAAATAACACAACAATAATTATTTTAAACATTTTTATTTGACTTACATTATTCCCTAAACATGAAAATTGTGAAAATAAACACAAACAAAACTAAAAACACAATAAAACCTGCTGAAAAATACCACATATTGTGACAAAACTATTTACAAATACAACTTAAATTTATTTCCTTTAAAATTAAAACCATAGAGAAGAAAGTTAAAAACATTTTTTTTTAAATTTCATAAGAGATTCTTCTCTTTATATAGTTCAATACCTAAAATAAGATGAAACATATTTACAATTAGCATAACTTATATACAACCATAGTATATACGCAAAATAATAAAAGCCTTAGGGCCTGTCTCACCACTGACTGATGGCTGAGATAGCTTAAAAATGACGTCACTATCAGATAAGATAACAACATTCAATATTTCCATCACATATTTTACACGTTGGATTATAATCAGACAATTTGTTTGAACAGGCCCTTAAATTGCTATTTGTCAAAAGACTATAATTATACCAAAACATAAACCTACTATAATTGGTAAAAAAGTGTTCTGTGTACAAAATTTATTGCAATTTTCATTAAAACAACTTTTCAATTTTTACATAGACATAGTTTATTAATACATTTTTATTACAATGTCATATTTATATACAATGATTAAATTTATACAAACCTAACCCCTTATAGAATACAAAAAATTCTGATACCTTAAATGTAATATCACAATTTGTAATAATAAAGTTTAGACACATTTACATGTAGACTAACTGGTACACACTTCGCCAGTATGTTCGATACTACATGGTGTTACTGGCGCCAGTTATTGTTTAGTTACCAGTTCAGTTATTGAGCATAGTAGCCAAATGAACCAGGCATATTAATTTGTAGTCTTTGTATGAAACACTATAGCAGTGGTTCCCAACCAAAGGTCTGTGGAACAACAGTGGTCTGTAAATGGTTAAATTAAGCGGACATTGAATTTACGAAAAAGTAACTTCATATTGATATGAAACAAAAAAGTATATGAGATTTTTGTGCTAAATCAGCTAGAAAAGTGCCTAAAAATGCTTGATAAATTACATCTTTATATAATTTCTACTGAAAATAATTTAAAAGGTCCCTATTGAAAAGGTTGGGTACCCCTGATATGGGTTTTAAACTTTTAGATAGAAATGAGATTGAATATAATGGCTAGAAAGGTAAAAGACTGAGGAATGTATGGATTGTATGAGAGAGGATATGCGTAATTGTAATCAGATATGACGAAATTGTGAAGAGTACATACTGATGTTATGTAGGAAAAAGGCAGGTTATTTTTTTTATACACATTTTAGTTAAATACTAATTTTGTCTAGAATTTACAATGAACCGTTTAATTCCTAATAGTTTGCATTTCTTAAACATTAATATCGTTTATAATAATTTTCATACATATTTTAGTTATCAACGTAAATATCTAGTTATGTGATTTAAGATTTCAAGCCAAATAACGAAATTAATTTGCTTTTTCATGTAACTTCCTTCCAAATTAGACCAATCTCCAAAATACCAGGGATAGTCAATCTTTACAGAACAGTTTTCTGAATGTTGGTTACCCTTGATTTACATTACATTTTTTTACCGTCAAATTTAAATATATTTTTGATTTTTTTTTGTTTTCACGATTTTTAAAGTATGATTATTAAGCCCAGTGTTGATATTTTGTAGAATTGCATTGCCACACTAATTAAAGGCAATAGATGAAAGTTTTCCTACATTTCGCTTTAATTATTTAAGTTGATTTTAAAATTTTAACAATTTCATTATAAATATAGAAATGCTTTATTACTCGAAATTTAAGCTAATCAATTTTCTATGCATTTTCAATAATTTTATTTTTAAAATCGTACTAATCAGGAATTTTCACTTTACGTGTCAGATATTTTTTATTTGAATATCTATTATTAGTAATTATAATTATTTAATAAGAATAATATTAAACATACTTAATATTAGCATACAACCCCTTTTATAACAGTTCAATTATTTTAGAAGTCTTTTATTGCTTATTTTTTCAAACAAGTTTAAATTTAACATAAAAATTTTCACAATTAAAAATCTACTTTTGAATGTTCACTTTCTTCAACAAACCAATTTTACTCACTTTTAAATCAATACTTCTTATTAAATGTAGGTAAAAATTTAAATTCTACATCCATATTTTTTACGATGGAAAAAACCTAAAACAGGTATCAATGTTTTATATTACCGGAATTCGACAAAATAGCGAAACGACATTATTTTCAGAGTTACTTCCCCTACTTATGTCCATCCCCAGTCAAATCCTATTCACTTTTTCTTCCTTTCCTCATACAAAGTGTGGAAAGGGGAAAAGGACTAAAACATGCCTCCGGCAAGTATTAACTTTCACATAATAGAACAAAGTCCTGATAACTCACTGCCTTTGTGCACCGGAGGCTGTCTGCTGAACTGGACACCTTCTAGGTTAGGTTTCAACTGGTATTCCAGCTCCGGTTCCTCGCCTGGAGGGAGAGGTTCCTCATCAGCGCTGAGGTCGTCTAACGCGGGCTCCGTGTGTGGGGTGGGCAGGGTCTTGGAGATGTTGATCCTGATGCCCCCGCTGGGCAGGAGGGATGGCGTGGCGAGCTGCACGTTGCCGTCGATGGAGGAGGTGACGGTGCTGAGCGCGCTCTCTATGGTGGGGAGGCGCTCCTCCACTGTTATCACCGGCTCATCATCTGAAATATTTCATCATCAACTCACTATACATATCCATTGAGGTCTGAGCAGTTTAACACAAAGATTATACACATTTTGATGTCAATAATTCTATATTTAAGTAATTAAACTCCTTTAGTAACAAGACGGACATTAGTTGTCAGTGTTGTACACCGGTAGAGGTAGACATAGAAAGAGATTGTGTGAAAGGTAACATGATAAAGAAGGGAGTGATGACAGATGACGTATGATAGTTATGTGGAGGAGAAAAACGGGAGTAGGATAAGAAGGAAGATAATAAATTATTCTATATTCAAGTACTATTAAATTGTTGATACACAAGGTGCACTGTCAATGTAGAGCGGGCGCACATCTTTGACTAAACTGTCGCACAACAGTTGTGCGATTGTCGATTTTTTCGCAGACAATCCAACTGTTTAGTTGCACAACTAAAAATCGAGTGTGCACCTCTATTTAATCTTATAGGAATCAAAGCGAGACTAAACAGTTATTTGATAGTTTAATTAAAGTTATGCGCCCGCTCGTAATCTTACTAATATTAATGCGAAAGTTTATGGATGTTTGTTAGTTTGTAGCCTAAACTGTTGAACGGATCGCGATGAAATTTAGCACAGATGTAGAGAATAGTTTGGTATAACACATAGGCTATTTATTTTTGTTATTTTTTTTAATTCCACGCAGACGCCAGCTAAAACAATTTGTGGTTCATATTTTGGTTTCTATGGACTAATGGGTTTTTTTTATATTATAAGGCAGCAAACTCGCAAGCGGACATCTGAATCCACTGAAATGGAAAGCGACCGCTGCCCATAGACATCCGCAATTGCAGATGCGTTGCCTCTTCTTAACTAGCACATAAAGAGGACATTTCCCCTTCCTATGCATCTCTTCCACCGTCAAATCCACTTTTCCTTTCCATACTTTCCTCTAACGAAAATGGTGAAAAGGGAAAAGGACTAAAAATAGGCCCCTGGCACCACACTCATCAGACTGTACGCGGAATTGCTTCCACTAGACGCCTGTTATCTGTGTGGTCGTGGTATTACTGGGGGCGAGCCGGCCCTGCAGTGCTAACATGTAAAGGCGGGCTGTGCCACTGCTACAGTAGTACAGTATACCTGGATCTATGGGTTCCTGTTTGACGCGCACGTTGGCGAAGTCTGCGGCGGCGAGGTCGCGCTGGCGCCGCGCCGCGCTCGTCTCGTCGTCCGTGTCCTCCTCCTCCAGCACCACCTCCTCCACCGGCTCCGCCTTCAGCACCACGTCGTCCTCCGACTCCGAGCACGACGCCTCTTCTATCTGTACGAGTCACATTTCATAACCTTAGTGAAAAACATAATTAGAACTTCCTCTTGTTCCTATCTGATTTACACAAATCTCTCCTGAAGCATGTTCTCTTCCACACAACCCATACTGTCTTCTTCTGTCTTCCTCTACCTTCTAGTTTTACAAATTACAAAGAGATCTATTAGCTTTTTCTGGAGATATATAACAAACAAACATCTTAAGTTTCGCATTTATAACATTAGTAAGAAGTAAGAGTATTTAAAAAAAAAGTAAGATGGAGGACATCCGACTCGAAGGACCTACTTTATTTTATTAAGGTGTTTCTAGACTTGTGACGAATAAAATTAAATATAACTCTACGTAAAATAACGCTGAGGTCTTACCTCTAGAGCCTCAACGGCAGGATCCTTGATCTCAAGAACCTCGACATCTGACTCATCGTCAGAGGCCACCTTCACGTCCTCCGTGTCCACCTCTATCGGCTCCGTCTTCTCTACTTCTGTGGTAGCTTCCTCTGACGCTTCCTCGGGTTCTTCTTTAGCTAGAGACGCCTGGAACAATAAATTATATATTGAAACGTCAAATTACATAAAATGTTATTCTTTTTCTAGAAAGAGCTTTGCATAAAAATGCGGAGCTCTACATCCCGGCGGGTCTTCCATAGGTACCTAGGTAGTTTCATCAACTTATTTGGTAACTACAGGTCAAAAGCGTTAGTTAGGTATAAAGTTGCAAAAATATAGCAAGAAAACTATGAAAGAGATCCATAAGAAAAAGTAAAAATGACTGGTTAATATTTTAAAATATTGTACTTACTTTATAGTCGGCGAGGCAGAGCGGATGGTAGTGCAGGTCGTCGTGCCGCACGGCGTTCCTGAGGTGCCACTCCTCACGGTCCTCGTTGTAGAACTGCTGGAAGAGGTCCCCGCAGAGCGCGCAGTG